CATATGAGTGATTGTCCGTCGTCGTCGTCGTCCGTGTCAATGTTTTACTTTTTCGACTTCTTCTTGAAAACTACAAGCCTGAATGCTTTGATACTTGGTGTATATGTACCTTGGGTAGACCTCTCTTAGGTTTGTTCATTTCAATGTTGATATCTTCAATTCTCTAATTTTGGTGAATATTTTTGTCATTTTTGGTAAAAAGTGATATTTTCGACTTCTTGTTAAAAACCGCAAGTGCAATTGCTTTGATATTACATATCTAGGTACTACATGTGGACCTCTCTCAGAATTGTTCATTTTGTAATGATATCTTTAATTCTCTAATTTTGGTGAATATTTTTATCATTTTTGGTAAAAAGTGATATTTTCGACTTCTTGTTAAAAACCGCAAGTCCAATTGCTTTGATACTACATATATAGGTACTACATGTAGACCTTTCTCAGATTTGTTCATTTCGTGATGATATCTTGGATTCTATAATTTTGGTGAATATTTTTGTCATATTTGGTAAAAAGTGATATTTTCGACTTCTTATTAAAAACCAAAAGTTCAATTGCTTTGATATTACATATATAGATACTACATGTAGACCTTTCTCAGATTTGTTCATTTCGTGATGATATCTTCAATTCTCTAATTTTGGTGAATATTTTGGTCATTTTTGGTAGAAAGTGATATTTTCGACTTCTTGTTAAAAACTGTAAGTCCGATTGCTTTGATACTATACATATTGTTCATTTTCTGATGATGTCTTCAGTTCTTTAATTGAAATGTGCATTTCTAACAGCGGAGCTATCTCAGCCGATAGGCTGCTTGTTTTAGATTTGTTATCTTTGATCTTTTAGAAAGAAATATTTTCATTTATAATTGTATTGTTTCAGAATGAAGACTGTGGTTCAAAGGAATGCCGTTATTTTGAAAGCAGTGATGAAGCTTTGGATTGCTACACACATCTGTATGAACAACAAGAAAGTAAACCACATAATTTGAGGAAAACACAGAAAATGATTTCCAGAAATATTGGGTCTCGGAAATTTCGAAAGGTAAGTTTACATCATGCGTTTTGATATGCATGCCCTGTCACATTTTTGAGTTAAGCAGACTTATCTTGATGAATGTCATAATTACTGAAATATAAACTGATTTAAATATTTGTGGAATATTATGGCAGAATAAAATGACCATTCAGACATATGGAAGTTATTTTCACAATTGATGAAGTGTATCTTGTTGTCATATATAGTTGAAACACAGCAAAGACAGTCACAAGAATGCTTCAAGGTTTTTTTTTATTGCTATAATTGCATATTTCCAATGATGCAATAAAGTTATTACTGTAAAATAATAAGCACAATGTGAGTAAAATACCAACACACTTATTATAATACATGCTGAGTGTCATCAGAATTTGTGCTTTCATAAATAATAAGTTTTATGTACAACAGGTTATGATATGTTCTAGATTGTATACTTTTTTTTCAAAATTATGAAAATTCTTAAGTAGCCTCATTTTAGATTTTATAATTGCTTTATCTTTCTTTGTACTTAGGTAATGTTAGAGATGCAGGAGGGTTGGTCGTTGTCATCAGGTGTTAGCGCTTTAGTAGAACACGTCTGGGAAGAAGCTACAGGACAGTTAGAAGATATTCTCTCAGTCAGTGTGGAAAGTCTGAAAACAGAAAACGTTAGTATTTGTCATTATGTAGATATGCTTATCAAGGAATTATAAGGATGTGCAATATATCTAAATATGATGATTTCTGATGACGATCATATTACATGGGTGTTCCATGCAGAATCCATTAGAACTTGATTTAACCAATGGTATCACGATATGCAACCACATACTAAACAATACAAACTCTAGAAATCTGCAAGGACATTACGGAAAGACATGCTGTCAGTGACACTCAAAATGTGTGCAGAAACGCTAGAAAGACGCATTAACATTTAAACTAGAAAACCAGTATGCACTGGAAAAACTGAACGTTTGACAAAAAAATAAAACCATTTAGTTCACTGACTCATTATTATTTTTTTTAGAAATATACATGTTCCAGGGCTGCAGCATTCTGCAATGTATGGTGCATACAAATCAACTTTTTTCCATGTACATTGTACCAAAATATTTGATGTTACCCTATGTAACATGTATTATATAATATGACATTAATCACATAGTCAACTCCTCATTTACTGTAAAGGGGTTAATTATTCACTGGGTTTTAATTTTGCCCATTTCGCTGACTGGAAAGTGCGCTAAATTTAAACCCAGTGAATATGTAAAATTGAGCTTAGAACACCTTATCTAAATGATAAAACCATGATTTTAAAACCCACTGAATATGCCTGAAATGGTAAATCAGTGAAATTTAAACCCAGTGAAAATTAGTCATTTTACAGTATTATGGTGCTATAAGTCATTCATTATTTATACAATGATTGCGTCCTATTGTTATTATTCAGATTCTTTCACTTCACCCTGATGTCACAGTTGTCTGATTTATGAGATGAAATTTGCCATGTTGATTCTTTTCACTGAATTCTTTTACACACCAGAAAAATAATTTGGATTATTCATAACAAATTTCTGATAAAAATGAACACAAATTTGGGCGTTTCTTTCTCATGAGTGATTTAACTGATTACCCACTCATTTTGTTTGTACGTGTATGCGAAAAGTAAAATAATTTTGATGAGTCACATGGTTAAGTTGTCGTTTTAGATTCCTGTTAAAAATGGCCCAAATTTTAGATATTTGTTTGAGTGATATTACTGATCAACTTGTATGGACAAAAGCTTTTTTTGAATAAAAAATAACAAATTTTGATCAGTCACAGTCAACAATTTTGTTTGTATCATCTATATCCGAGGTATAACAAGTGTATTTTATTCCAACAATCTGGTTCTGTTTAGTCACAAAGTCACATAGTTTGGTAGCCATAACTGATCAAAAGGAAATGACTAAAACTGCATGTAATAGACTATTAAAAGCCATGTATATATCATATGGATCATTGCAATGTTCAGAATTCTTATGGTGATTGATCAATTGATGTGGTCTATCTTGAATTGATTCCTATTCACATGTTTATGCTTGAACTCCTGTAACGCTGTTAACAACTTTTAATTATTATTGTCATTGCTAGGTCGAAAAAGCTGAAGCTCTTCTACTGCAGTTGAAAAGAGCTTTAGATAATGTTTTAAGTGATTCTGAGATAATGGAGTTATCCAAGGAGTTTTATAGTTTCATTCCACATAAAGAAGACTTTAAAGTGATTAATTCAAAAAGTGTTATTGCAAAGAAACAAGAACTTTGTCAGGTGAGAGATGTATTATTTTTGTACACAGTGATATTTTGGAATTGATTTGGATACTTCTCTGTGTGTATAAAAAGATTACAGTATGTAAATTGCACTTCATGGTACTTTGGATGGAGTGTTTTTATTAGTATTTTTAGCTCCGCTGTCGACTTTGTCGAGCGGAGCTTAA